CCCCTCCCTCCCACCACATACACACAAAGATAATTAAAAAGATAATTACAAATTGATATCAACTTATGATTTAGCTCAAAATAAAATTCAAAATTAGACCTTATTAAATCTACTCTCTGTTGACAACTTATCTTATTTAAATTAAAAGACTACTTGAATACAGACAGAAATTTTCCAAAAATTGCTCAATTCCATTAAAAATATATTCATATGAAGAAATTTGTGTTTTTTTTAATAGCCAAAAAATCATCTTAAAATGTAAAGAACTTATAACAAGTTAGAAAATGCAAAAAATAAATATACAGTAAGTTGATATCTGATGTACACAGCAATAAAATTAAATAAAAAATTTAACACCGCTAGTAACACTAAAATAACAATGAAAATTTTCATTAAACAAAAACAATGGTTAAAGTAACATAAACAATAAAAAAAAAGAACAATTGTATAAGTTTAGAAAATCAAAAAAACAGCTATAAGTAGTCAAAAAAAAAACAATTTTAAAAAATCAAAAAAAAAAAAAACAGTTATTAAACAGTTACAAGTAATATGAAAAAAAATAAAAACATTAAATTACATTATTTAAATGAAAATAAATAAAATACACAATTTTTAATAAAAATTAGCAGCCCAAAAGGCTAAAAAAACAAAAAAAAAGCAAGAAAAAACAACTGATTTCAAAGTAATCTGATTTATCTTTTGTGTTGGCAAAAAAATGCCTTTTACAATCTTTTTATTGCTCTATCACTAGGACGGTAAATGACATACAGAAACATAAAGGAATTACAAACTTTTCCATATTTTGAAATCAGTTGTTCTTATGTTAAATCAAAGAACAAATCTTTTTTTTTTTTCATTTTTTCTATTTTTAATTTTTTTTATTCTTTTGATTTTTTTTTTTGGTTTTTTTGATTTTTTTGTTTTTTAGTTTTTTTTTTTTATTTCTTAGTTTTTTCTTTTATTTTTTAGTTTTTTTTTTGTTTTTTGTTTTTTTTTATTTTTTAGTTTTTTTTTATTTTTTAGTTTTTCATTTTTTTTTTTAATTTTTTGGATGTTACTAACCAGCTTTCATTGGAAGAGGATGGAGATTCGCAGCAGGCAGCGACAGGTGGCCGCATGAGGAAGACCAGGCAATAATATTAGCCTGAAAAAAACCACTGATTAGAAAAATTACGAGACCCACTTTAATATTTTGTTTTCTATGGTCATTCAATTTTTTTTTTTAACTTTTAAATTTCACTTCTTCAATGCTAATTAATTTCTTACCTGGGATGAAGAGGTGATGTGCATCCTCTTCTCTTCCTACCAGATCAAGTCTGCGCCGCTTCACCTGTCGTTCGCTTATTACGGCCGCGCATGCCCTCGGGCACCAATCGCAGCAAGAGGTAATGCCCACAACGGGCACAAAAGCCTGGAATATGTATAATTAATCAGTCTACTGGCTTTTAAATGAATCAAATGCAGCGATATCTTTAAAAACTAATTGGAAATTCATTTCGCAATACTTACCATCTTGCTTGTGTGTTCTCGACGCGTGAATGCGCCACCCTTTCAACGTTTCAAACTGCCTGCAGCAGAAGCCACACACTGAAAACAGAAATAGTAAGAAAATATTGTTGCACAAATTGTTCTTCGAGTATCGATATAGAATTTTGTAATCGTTTTGGTGCATTATAAGGGATGAAATTTTCGATGAAATTATATGATTTTATCAGTACGAAGTCAAAATATGATTATATTTCTTCTACAAATTGCGGCATATAATCATTTCTTAAGTTATTAAAATTATAACTTACCGATTTTCTTGTTTCCTTCTTCTTGTGCCACCGTGTATGGCTCTGCTTGCGGCACTATCAACTCTCTTCGGAGTTGCTCCGGAAGATCTTTTAAATCAGCTGGTTCGAACTTTTCCGGAGGTGCCGCAGCCATTGCTTCTTGCATGGCAGGAACCGGGATTCTGATCGTCCTCGTTCGCCTGAAACAGTTTTATATTTATTGCAAATTATTTGGCAGGTAAGTTAATATCTAGTTAGCAAATTAATACAATTGCTGCTAAAACTTAAACTTACAGGACGAGTTCACGTACTGCCTCCACCGGTTCCTCGATCTCCATTGGTACCCCCGGTACCTCAGGCTCTTCTTCTTCTTCCTCTTCTTCTGGCAGAGGGGTCCACTCTGCTTCTGATGGCCAGTTCTCGGCCTCATCATTTTCATTTTCAGGCAGAGGAGCCCACTCTGCCTCTTCTTCGTTAAATTCCGGCTCCTGAGGTACCGGGTCCTCTTCCATTGCTGGCTGGGCACTCTGCCCTACCAGTTCCTCCAACCTCCACCCCGCCTCCGCCATCCTTTCTATGAGCGACTGTTCAAACTGAAAAAGCTATTTTTTAAAGTCACTTTTTAATTTGAGGCAGTGCAAAGTTCATCAATTCTTTCTTCATACTGTATCAATTTATAAAAAAAAAAAAATAATAATATAAAAAATAAAAGCAAAAAAGAGGAAGACAAAGTGAAAATTACCTGAACAGTCCTGCTCACGAACCTTTGCAAAATCCGGTACATCTCCGGCTCCCTTTTAAGGTATTCGAAAAGCACTTCGATTTCTTGGTCCTCCATGGGAGCCGCAATTCTATAAAATTAGCAAACTTATCAAATATTCATTAAGCACAAAAACCAGTGACGTAACTATTATTTACTTATGGTAAAAGAACACATGGTAAAAAAACACTGATTTACATATTTTAATTTACCTGCACATAATTCCATTTATGCTAATCACTAAATACCCCATACTTTCCCTGATAATTCTGACATAACCAAAAGGACAGGAAAATAATCACGAAAATAAACATTCATAATAATAGTATTTCTCTGCAATCTTTCGCGCTCAAGAGTCTTTATTCTTTCGCGCTCATGGAGATTTTTTTTTCATCTAATATATGGAGACTGTTCCATCCTTTTTTTTTCTTCGAATATTCCTTTGGTCTCTACTACATCTCAATCTAACATCTTTGTACTACGTGTATTATCGTTCTTCTACATAAACTTTTTTTTTTTCTTCTCTCAATTATTTCTATTAATTAATGCATATTTTTATTGATTTCCTTAGGAATAAATAATCAAGTAAAGGTTACGTACAAATTACCACTTCTGATTTTTACACAGTTTAATAAGATTTTTTTCAGCAATTCTTTCTTTCATGTTCTATTTCGTACCGTCGTCTAAATTTTTATGTTATTATGGCATTCACCAGATACTGTATTGACCAAAAACAGTGCAGTTATGGGATATGTTTACAAAAAGTCTTTTTGATTTACTGCCTAAACTTTGAAAAAAAAAAACTTTTTTGAACTATCCACGATGACTTAGCTCGCCCACAAATTTTCGATTATCCATTTTCATTTTTATTCCAAACATCAATTTGATCCCTCTTACTTCTTCTATTATTGAAATTTACTTGCCTGGTCTTGTAGTTTATTTTTTAAATGCTTAACTTCCTGACCTCGACATTTTTTAGAAAGTCAAAGCTAAGTAATTTATCAAGATAGCATTACCTACATATATCGTGCAGTCTTTTCAGTTGCAAGACAAACTCTTAATGGAAAATATCTTTTGCAAGAGTACTTTCTTAACACTTTCGATATATATCCATTGTTTTACTCGTTGCTTCATATAATTATGTATTTTTTTTTACTATGCATTTTGAATTAAAGACTAACGATTTCATAACCTTTATCATAACCACTTCTTATTTTCTCAATTTTTACCTTTAAAAATTTAATTTGATTGATTTTTTTTCCTTTTGTTTCAATATTTCTGCAATTTTTAGCATATAATTCATTCCTTTAAGAATTACTTACTACTTCTTATTATTATGATAGAATGATTTGAATTTTTAGAATTAAACAGGAATAAAATGTAAATTTAAAATAACTTTCATTATAGTTTCATTACATATATAAAATTAAATATCTTGAACAAATAATTGTTGTCAACAATGTTTTATTTTTTTTTTTAGTAATTTTTCTGCTAAACCAATTTTTTCTACTCTTTCAATTCTTATTTAATTTCGTTTTAATTTTGTACAAATTTGTTTTAAATTATAGCAAGAAATCTTTATCTATTCTTATTCTTTGTCTAATAATTAGATAAAAGTATTGATTACATCAATCGAAATCTTATAATTACTGTTATCAGTAATCTAAGTGCATCGATTTGGTCATACACATACACACACACACACACACACACACACACACACACGCACATACATACACACATACACGCGCACAATACACACATACACACATACACACACACATACACACAGACATACACACACACATACACACACACACACACACACAGACTAACCAATCTATATTTCATTCATAGAGACATGAAAACATTTTCGTTTGTGCATATAGAGACTATTCCATCCTTTTTTTTTTTCTAAATGACTCCCATTCTTTTCTTATATTAAATGAATGACAGAATTCATACTTAATGATTAGCATATATAGTATTGTAATTAAATATACGATGCAAATTAATTTCATTTTTCTCATTGGTTTCTGGCGTTGCTCAGTTTATATTGGATAAGTTTATATTTCTTTGTCAGTAAGCTTCTTGAGATAATGTATTTCAGTGTCAAAATGACTTCTTCAGATAAGTTTTATCAATGTTATCGTTTTGTGCAACGACCATAGTTCAATCATAGATGTATTCTGCAGTATGATATTGTAAAAGAAAATGCAAATTACCATGAAATTTATCAAATATTTTTGGATAAAAAAAAGAAGTAAACATTTAGGAGTAATAAAACTTAGAAGAACAATCCATTGATAATATCCACGTGGTCTAGGCAAGTCGAAAAATCGATGTGCTAAACTCTCGAAACAACTGCTATTATTATTTCACTTTCTTTTTTCAGATTGGAAATGTTGTATGAGATCAAAAGCGCGGGAGGAAAAATTCAAATACGTCGGTTATAAACAATTACTATGTCCAATAATGCGGGCAGGTATCTGAATCTTCATAGTGATGGGACGAATCTTACTCCTCCATTAGGTTTGCCATTTTATTGTCAGACAAATGCAATGCTAAATTAGTTGTTGTTTTTAAAATCTTTTCATGCTGTGTGTCCCATACTTCTTGTTGACATAATAAGTCTCAGTTATCTGTTACATTCAATCATTTAATTCCTCAAACAATACGATAATACCTTTTCTTCGATCATCTTCCCTGATTATTTCTTCAATAATCTGTAGAATTCTAAAAAATATTGAAGAAATTATCTGCAAAGAATATTGTGATTTGTTTCCCTGAGCTCGAATTTTTGCTCTTAATTCGGATATGTCAAAAATTATTTGATTTTTATTAATATATAATGCTTCCATAAGTCGTTAACTACAATGAATATTTAATATTGAATATTGAAAATTTTTTAATATTGAAATTTAATATTGAAAATTCGCAACGCTTGAATTTGAGACGACCTAAACTGTTCATTTCAACCAAGCAGAATTATTTTATTAGCTGGACCGAAACTGAGGATGGCTGCATTTTCCATGATTCTTTTGATGGTGATATCAGAGCGATAGCGAATGATTTACGCCAGATTGATGGGTTGCGTGATTTTATAATAAATCCGGGATTATCCATGTTAGTTTCCTTTACTACGAAACATTAGAAAATCAGGTTTTAAATAACTTAATTCCCATTTTTCACTTCTGATTTTTGTTTGTTCCATTTGGTAAATTTTTCGATTTTTTGTTAATTTTATCGATATGTATTATATTTCAGTTGTGACAATATTAAGCTGAACGTTTTTAACGTTCATCATCAGCCGACTTTTATACTGACTACAGGGTAAGACCGTACACCAGTGATGATTCTGTCTAATTTTATAAAGATCATTAAATAATCTTTGAATATTTTGAAATTTGTTATTTTTTAAATAAATAAACATGCTTCGCAATAAGTATTTTTTTTTCAGCATTTTTATTCCCGTTTTTAATCTAATAATAATATGGAATTAGAAATAAAATTTGCGATAAAGAAGGTTATATGCATTGCATTGCTTGAAGTCACCAATCCTGTTTTCGAAAATATTGTTTTTTACAAGTCACTACCGTACTTCCACTGTTCTTCAAAATCAGAGGATTCTCTCTAACATTTCTCCTATACCGTTATTATTAAGAACTAAGGAAACTGCAATTAAGAAAATTAGACAGTGAAATTAAATCTCTATGAAGTATTAATTACAATGTTCAATCATCCGCTACTAAATATGTTATACTGCACATTAAATAAGTGGTACTGCACATCAAGGTATATATTAAATTATATAAAAAAGATATATATTAAATTAAATTACTATTATTTAAAAGTTTATTATTTAAATTAAGTAACAGAAGAACTACAAGTAATTAATTCAACAGAACAGAGAAACTACAAGCAATTAATTCAACAGCAAAGATTTGCCACAAACAACAGCTCAAGAAAAGCTTGAAGAGGAAGGAAGATATTGGAAAAGGCTCTGTATATTCGTTGGAGTAGACTGCTTTTTCAATTTTATATCTTCAAATGAAGTCCGTCAAATGGTATCAGGATTCTACGTAATCCATACAAATGCTGATCCTATAATAACTGGGAAGGAATATAAAAATAGGTTTCACAATTATGACGAAGACCAAATTAAATTGGGGATAGTTGTTGTTGAAACCAAATCGATGCATGTAAGCAATGTCACCATGATTCCAAAAATGGGAAAATTCTGGAAATAAGGAGTCGAGATGTTGAGATATTTCAAGCAACAGTTGAGATATTTCAAAGGAACAATCGCTATGCAAAGTGGAAGATATCAAGTATTTTAGTCCTGGAAAAGTTCAAAGATTTGCCTAAATGATAATTAGGGTTTTTTGTCTCGAAAGATTAGAAATATTAATTGGAGGACTTTATACTAATAAATTATTTCTCAAACGTTACTAGGAAATAATTCAAGAACAAATGGAATTCAATATAATTAAAGTAGTAATCCTAGAAATGAATCAGATTGGCTTTATATATTATTAGACACATCATGCGATATTAATCCGAATAAATCGACAATAAAATTAAGAATCTCTTACGATGCTTCTGCTCACACCAAAGATATGAAAATTTTGAACGATGTTCTATATCAATCCGATCGCACTCTCAGATTTAGCAGGCGTATTGATTCATTCGACTTAGAACGATGGAAAATATAATAACAGCCGATACTGAAAAAGCGTTTTTGCAATTGGAATTATTTTCAACGCAGCTTTTCGTTAATCAGTGTTGAAGAACAGAGGAAATTTCTTTCATTCAACAAAATCATTTCTGAGTAGAAATATGCCAATGAAAGAAAATCTTTGGAGTTAATCGGACCAATCATCGAAGACAGCACAAATATGTTTTCGTCTCCAAAGAGTTCCATTCGGAATGATTATCATTCTCCTTTATACTAGCAACCAATTTTCAACTACAATCGATTAACTGCCAAATTTAAAAACCTGAAAGATGTGAGAAACACCGTGATCATTTGATGAAGATACAATAATAGCTGCTGATTATGCAATTGATATTGGTCCTGAAGCTGAGGTAAATGGAGGAAATAATTGTTGCAGAAAGGAACAATCAAATCAAATGCATGGGACCTCGAAAAGCATAACAGAGCAATATTTAAGTGGAAGAGAAAACAATCTTAATTTCAGCAAGCAAACAATTCAGTACATAAAAGTAATAAATGCATGGGAAAATAACTTAAAAAATATAGATGATAAATGCAAGGAAAAAAAAAATAACTTAAAAATATAGAAAATATAGATGTCCTATAAGGAAATCTTATTTGTGTAACTGGGATATCAGGGAGGGAGGGGAAAAACAAATGAAGTTTAGTTGTAGAAACATTATATAAATATTTAGCGCGCAAAATATATAATTCATTCTCGAAATATGGCAAATGCGATTAGAAGGCTTTGAATATATAGATAAAAAAATTATAGAAATAAACCAATTGCCAATTGATAGAACTCCGACATCGAATCCAGCAATATATGTTGGCATTTTCAATGATGTGAGGAATACTCTTAGAGTCAGCCGATTTCCAAAGGAGGAAAGGTGAGAAGCGTGTAAAGATGATGAGCATTTAAGGGTAGAAATGCATTTCGAGAAACAATGGAAGTTACTTACAAATGAAAATCAGTTTCTGACGTGCTTGATATGACAATAGATCAGGCGTGTGATTTTTTTTTGACAACCTTTCAATGCTGAATGAAAAATTGGTCATTTTTCGAGAAGTGGACTTGGATATATAGAACTATATATAGAAGGAACAACTGTCTAGAGGTAAAGCTATCCAGAGAGCTATCAAAACAGTCTACTGTTCTTGATGAAGCAATGAGGGGATTGCATTTTGAGAATGTGAATAATTTACTGAAGATAACTCCATGAGTTAGTTGATTTAGGAAATACTGTTATAGGTATCGAGCACAACTTGCACGTTATAAAAACTGCGGATTATATAATAGACATTGGTCCAGAAGGTGGAACGAAAGATGGGAAAGTAGTTGCCAGAAGAAATAATAGATATACAGGAAGTATTACTGGTAAATATCTTAAGCCATATCTGTTAAAGTTAAGTAAGATGAAGAAATAAATACCTGTGGTAGAATATATAAACCTATCCATATTATGGTGAATACTTGGCGATTGGTCTAATTTATGTTATAAATATAGTAGGAAAACTGTAATAGACTTAATATAATTTTGTTTTATAGGTATAGTAGAACTGTGTAGCTTCTTGCCAAACTCAGAGTTGCCGGCAGATGACAAACGAATTCTGGGAAGTTTGTTTTTAAGGAAATAACGAACACCATCAATTGAAAAGCCATCTAAGAGAAAAAAAAAAGTAGGAACACAAAATTGTGAGGAATATACAATTTCAGATTATATTTCTAGTCATAATAATCAGCTGAGAACTTAATCACTTTTCAGATGAGAATTGTAATCAACATACTTCCGGTATTACTTATTCAGGATAGCCAGAAAGCAATAATTATACAGACAGAAGTTATGGTTAAGAAGTGCTAAAATGCTAAAATAGCGAGTGCAGTACAGAAATTACGGGAGTGTTCGAGAAAATATACTTGATGAATATACGAGAAAATATACTTCTAAGAGCTGAAGTCGAAAGTGCGTTAACCAAATAACTAGTTAATCAGATGAAAATGATTAGGTGATAGGTGCTGATTCCAATTTTGAGGATTGTGGCATGCTGTCAGGTGTTGATTTACAATAATAAGTTAGTTAGTTGTTGGCTGGTTGAAACTACTGATTCAAATGATTCTAGCTCAGATGAAAGTAATACTGATATCAATTTAAGCGATTTAGACTCGACGAAGATAACTTTTTTTTCTTACAGAATACTCGCTTTTGATGAAACTAAGAGCACCATTAACTAAAAATGAAAGTAATCTTATTAATAAACTTTATAAGGAATTGGAATATAAAGGAAAAAGATGTAAGAGAAGAAAACAATAAAAAATTAACTAATAGTTTGTTAAAGACATATTAGGTGAATGCTTAAGGGACAAGTCTAATTTATGTTATAAGAATAAAACTGTAATAGACTTAATATTTGAGGCATTAATAGACGTTACCAATAGTAAAGATCTATGTCCTAGCAATAAAGCGCATGCAGTGAGTTTCAGTGTCAGAAATGTTATAATTAAGTGTCAGGAATTAAGTATAATTTAATGTCATTAATTTCAGTGTCTGAAATGTTATAATTAAGTGTCAGAAATGTTATAATAATTTCAGTGTCAGAAATGTTATAATAATATATGTAACTAATAGATTCATTACATTAATTATAACATTTCTGACACTGAAATTAATTTCAATTGCTAATCTAAATACTTTGTGAAAATCCCGCATTTTTTTCAGTTTCAGTAATTTAGACAAAAAATAAATTTGAATTTTGTAAAAATTTCTTTTAATTAATTATTAAATGCGAATAAAGTTTTAATTTTTGCAAAATTTTTTGTTTCATCCCTTGTTAAAGTAATAAAAGTTGGTACAAAATGAAGAATTTTCATGGCTATTTACTGCTAATTGGTAATCATGACTAATTTCCAATGTCAAAAATGAATTTCTAGTCACTTTATTTCCTCATTTTAATTTAGTCTCAAACTGTATTTATATTGATAGTATATGAAAATGTATGGCACATGGAGATGCTAATTTTCGCAATGGTCATGGTTTCGTAACGCAAATAGCAAACGTTGTTACCCATCAATACATCACAATTTTAGCAAACCAATTAAAAATCCGGGGTTTGGACGTGGTTTGCTAAATTTTTTTCCGGTTTCACTAGAATACTATGATTTGTCTTGTGTTACCGCTGAGGGCTTGGTATGAAACAACTTCATCCATATTATTTTATTTGAAACAGAATTAATAAAAATTAAAACATTTTTAATATTTAATTTATTAAAACTTTTAAAATCTGTCGAAATTTCTTAAGTAACTTTATTTGGATTTGTGACTAAAGTTAATTTTAATATTTAAAAAATATTTGAAATCAATTATAATTGTAGATTTAATTAATTTCTGCAATGAAAGTTTGCTTTAAAGTTGACATAAAATGTCAAAAAAAGTCAAGCAGATCAAGTTTAATGCAAATAAAAGTAATCAATTAAGTTCAATAAACGTTTATTTTTAAATGAATTATTTTTCCAGCATTGACAGATTTCAATTGAAACAGAATTAATAAAAATTAAAACGTTTTTAATATTTTATTTATTTTAAACTTTTAAAAACTGTCGAAATTTCTTATCAGTTAAATCT